TGTTCTCACTATCAGATGACGATGAATCATAGCTGCCATTTCCATTTTGTAATATTATGAAAAACACAAGAGTAAAGAAACAAAAGGTGCTATTCCTGTAGACACAAAAAGATTTTGGAGCAGGGGAGGGCACCAAAAAGAGAGACATTTAATCTTAAAACTTCCCTAAAACAGAAAAAAAAACCATGCTCTACAACTTCAAATTTTTCTTACAAAGAAAAATTTAATATTAGATGAGAGGTTGAACCAGGCAGACAGATATTAGGAAGTGGTTGCAGCCTGTAAAAATGCCAGTTTTTAAGTACTGACTTTGGAAAAGATCATTGCCTGTACCAGAACACCCGAGTCCTGGTCCGGCACTTTTGGCCTGATGATGTTAAGCCACACAGACCAACACCCAACAGAGAGACACAGACTCTAAGATAATGTTGACAGTGGTTTAGCCCTTGAAGAGAAATGGTGCTCTCTGCAGCTGGTATTAAGTTACCATTGGCATTGGAGGAGCCAGGAGGATAAGAAAAAGCCTACATAATTACAGAACTGCCCTCACACGGTACCTGCCCCTTTTTAAGCTCTCACTGGCCAACACCAGCTCTTTGCAAGGAGAGCTCCCAAATACAATAAAATTATTACACAGTTTTAGTCTGAAGAACATCTTGCATTTTAATAAAAAAGGATTTACGTCAGGAAATTTACAAACCTTGAAGTGTTTTTGCCTAGATCTGGAATAAGAATGTCTTAAGAAGAGGTTTGTAAGGTCTTCATAACAAAGTGTTGTTATTTACAAAAAAAAAAAAAACCATTAACAGGTTATCTACGATTTAAAAATTTTGAACCAAAATTGCTACCTGTCTTTTTGATAGCCAAGGTAACTTGACAAAGTCGGCACAATTCTGTTAACAGAAAAGGAAGCCTTGACAGCTCTACTAATCCAGAAGTGGGTTTTCATCAGGATATACAATCGGAGTGTGAATGCATTCTAATGAAAACTTCAGCCCTCATTCAGTTGCACATAAAAGCCCTCAAAGAGAACACACAGTACAGCAACGTTTTGTAAAAGGCAACGATACAATTTGTACAGACCCCGACATTCTAATCCTATAGATCACCATGACACTGTCTCTGTCCCTCCTACCCCCAATCCCCTTATTTCTTAAGCAGCACCACCAGTCCCCATGGGACAAGGGCAGACGTACTTCATTCACCTGTGCGATTATTCCTGCACCAGAGATGCAAAAACCTCCTGCATGGGCAGCTGAGGAAACCAAAAGTACAGATGCCACGGGGGCAGAGGAGCCAGCATGAGCTGCTTTGTAATTCACTTCCCAGAGGGTTATTGAAGTAAAACAAAACAAATGACAGTCGTGACCCATGGTGGATCAAAAGGTACAATATCAAAATCATAGAACTCTTGCCTAAAGAAAAGATTGCAAATAGTCATCTGGTATATCTTATGTAAAGACAGGTTTATAGTGACAAAATATTTTAGAAAAATTTCTGTAGTGTCAAGTTCTTTTGAACTCAAAATTTTACCCCCAAAAGATTTTCACTAAATAAATGAGAATTGGCTCTATTTCTTCTACTTCTGTATAGCCCGAGTAAAAATACTAATAGTTTCTAGATTTCAGTGGGGAAACTATAATTATTAGGACCCATGGATATTGCTGCAGTTCAAATACGGTACAATAATTACAAAATATAGACCATCTCTTTACAAATACAAATTATAGTATATTACAAGTCATGTACAGTAAATCTAAATTTTAAAACAAACTAGCATATCTAAGTTTACCTGGTTGCGAGTACATTATTATTCCAGTTTACAGTTGCCCTTAGTGACAGTCAGAAACCGACCATCTGAGTGATACTACTCGCTTATGTAAACTGGCGTCACATAACAGAAAACCTTGTTTATAAGGTCCCACTCCTCTCTCAGGATGACCACTGGTAGGTGGGGTTCTGACCTACACACTGTATTTCAGAACAGCTAGACAGGAACCAGGAAGCAGTGTATTTTGGGGTAAAGGGTTTACAAATGGATATGCTGGGCCCAGTGAGTGTCTGATATGCTAGACCGATGGCTGAGGTAATGACACAGGTATCATCGTCGTCATCTTTAACCTTCCCCTGCCGTGCCTTTGGTGGGCGGGCGTGGGCCCCAGCACCCATGAGATGCAGACTCTGCAGCAGCTCGTGCCTGAACGGTAGGCTGCTCTGCCCTCTGCCCGCCCTCTCTGAGGGCTGGACCTGCTGCTTTCTAGCGCTGGGGCTGAGTGCGTGGCACACGGCCCTGCTCGGCCACCCAGCACCTGCTCCTACCAGGTTTATGGCTTTCTTGAGGCGTGACATCACTTGTACAAAAGTCTAATAGAATATTTACTTCCAACTAGTGCCTAAACTTTCCTAACTACGAGGCACTTTTTCCCTGGCCCCCTTGTGCCCCACCCGAGGCCAGAGCCAGTCTGCCCCTCGCTGAGGGCTACAAGGTGGTGATGCAGATCATCTCATCCGCCAGGTCCTCCTCATCCCTCCCAGGGTCTGGCTCTTCGTCACTGTAGCCAGGACCGAAGTCCTGTAGTTCATAGTCCTGCCGGTGTGGGACAGGGCCCACGTCCCCGTTGGCACGGGAACACACGTTCCCATTAAGCAGAGTGCTGGCTGCACTCTCCATCTCGTCGATGGTTAGGTCACAGGCATCAGCGATTTCGTGTTTTGTTGCCGACACAAACTTTGGGTCCCTTGCATAGCGTCCTAAGCCTTCGGATATCAGGACCTGTAGAGGAAAGAGGATGGATGGCATGAGTGGTGTGGGTGTGGGGATGGCACTATAAGGGTGTGGGTTGGTGGCGGAGGTGACAGAAAAATCAACTCGAGCACTGCCTGCACGATGTGTTCTGAGGACTCAGCCCAATCTTGTTTACTAAACCTCATATGCAAGAAGTGCCCCTCATCCATGGGGGCTACGTCCCAAGACCCCTGGTGGATGCCTGAAACTGAGGACAGCATTGAACCCCGTATACGCTGTGTTGCTCCCTATACATACCTACCTGTAATTAAGTTTAATTTATAAACTAGGCACAGAACTCTTTTGTTTGGGGGGCATCATTAAGAGAAATAAAGGTTAGTTGAACACAAGCCCCGCAATACCATGACAGTGGATCTGATCACCGAGATGGCTACTAAGTGACTAATGGGGGGGGAGTGTACACAATGTGGATACGCCGGACAGTTCACAGCCCAGGAGGGACAGAGCAGCACGGCAGGCAAGTGGAAACTTATGGAGTGTTTATTTCTGGAATTTTCCATTTAATATTTTCAGACTATGGTTGACCACAGGTAACTGAAACCATGCATGAAGGGAATTGAGTGTAAACATAAATGGCTTCAGCTCTGAAAATGTCACAGAACTGAAAAACTACACGTGGCACAATGAGCGAAACCCACTGGGGGAAAAGTTTAGTATAAACTAGTAATACTAGGGTACTTCAAAAAATTCACAGGAAGATTTGTATTATCTTTCAATTCCATTTTTCCAAGAACTTTTTGAAGTACCCTTGCATGTGCAGGAACAGCACACATAACGCCGCGATAGCGCCTCTATGAGACGTGACAGCGTGGCCAGGTTTCGCTCCCGTGTACATGCACCCCTGCTGCTGAGAGGTGCTGAACCCAGGCAGCCCGCTCAGAGCCCGCCTCCCCGTCACCACCGCCCTCCCCTGCTGCGCGTGCTTGGTTCTCCGTGTCCCACACTGCTCTGCCCTCCCGTGGCCCAGAATCACACTCACTGCTTCCACCAAGCTATCTGCACTCCTCTGCTTGTCGCTGTTTTTGTTCCGGAAGCTGCTGGGGACAGTCAGGCTGGCTGGTGTGAAAGTCCGATAGGAGATGTCAGGCTCATCCGTGTACCAGGAGCTGCGGTGCAGAGATGGCAGGCTGCTGTTGACCTGGTCCGGGGACTCCGACCGCTCTATCTGGATCAACGGGGTGTAGCATGGGGTCCACTCCCGGTACGGAGGGGTCGCTGGAGGGGTGGCCCATGACCGGGTTGAGTGACTCGGTGAGTACTTCTGGGCTTTACTTGAATCTAGGCCTGCAACTGCCATGATCTGAGGAGAGAGGGGAAAGCGGGGAGACTGGAGGTCCTCAGAGGTCCAGGCCTCGTTCCTCCTTAAACAGACCAAGCAAGAGCACTGTTTTACAGGCGCAGCCACAGACAAGGACTTTGAAAAGGACATGAGCACACTGGAGTCAATTATATGAATTAGTAGTAAAAGTTTTGTTTCCTGGAAGACTGTATTTTTCCCCCCAAACCCAAAATACATTTCCTGTGACTGTTCCCAAGGAGTTAACAATTGCTAATTCATGAACTTGCTTTGGAATGAAGAATCGGGGAAGATGAACAAGCTGTGGTGTGTGAACCTAACATCCAGTTCACCCTTAAATACTGAAGTGCATTCAGGGGAAACTAACAATTCCCAAGTTCCCAGCAGAAAAACACGGCCGTTCTCTTTGCTGTAGCACAACTCATCCTATAACCAGCATTGTGTCTGTCCTAAATAAAGCACTGGGCATAAGGCCTGCTTTTTACAATTCCTCCGCAGAGAGGGATGCTGGGTCCCAGTCTGCACAATCAGCACACATCCATGGCCAAACAGGAAGCCAAGACCACCCAAGGGAGGCCACTGAGACCAAGTGGGCCTGGCCAGGGTGGAGAAGAGGGAAGCATGTTTTCATGCACACGCCCCTTCTAGATTTCCTAGCCTACTTAGTTCATGGCATCTGATGACCTAGGCTTTCCAAAGTTTTGTCCCTCTTCCATGATGATACAGGACAGAAATAAAAATTAGCATAAAAAGTAACACAGAGAAGTAAAAAGCTGGTGGAGAGGCTTAAATAGAAAATCTGAGGGCCGAGCCTGTGGCGCACTCGGGAGAGTGCGGCGCTGGGAGCGTAGCGACGCTCCCGCCACGGGTTCGGATCCTATATAGGACTGGCCGGTGCATGCGCTCGCTGGTTGAGCGCAGTGTGGGCGACACCACACCAAGGGGTTGCGTTCCCCTTACCGGTCACGAAAAAGACAAAAAAAAGAAAATCTGAAATGGCAGCTCAGTGTTCATGTGCATAGGATCCCTGGGCTAAGAACCCTGCAGGGAGACCGGGCTCTGCCAATTGACTGGGTGCTTGCTGTGTACTGGAATCTCTCTTAACCACCCCCACCCCACACACGTACACAAATGGACAGCATCCCTGATGTGATACTTTCAGAAAGAGAAAATACCATATCCTTGTCCTTGAGGCAAAGTCCTGGTGAGTGGGCTCTGGCCCCACCCTTCTTCCCATCCAACCGCCATCACTGTACACAGGTCGTCCTCCCTGGACTGCACCAACTCATAGGCAGCGGGGGCTAATGTACTCTCGTGCTCACCGGGCCCAGCTCAGAGAGGGCTCCATAAATGTGTCTTAAGGAAGCAACCACCTCTTAGAGCAAATAAAGATCAGCACCAATTGTCTGGAATCAGTCGAGTGTTCACCACTTCCTGAGGCTCCAATTGTACCAGGCCCTGCCTTCAATACCAAGAAGAGATGTGTGTGGGGGGGGGGGGGGAAACTGCACCTAGGCAGAGAGGCCAGCTTTGGAAGCTGGCACCTTGGATTCAAATGCCAGCTTGTCACTCACCTCCTATGGGAGTGTGGGCAGAACAGGGCTCATGCTAGTGTCTATTAGGCCAGGTTGTTACAAGGGCTGAACCAGACTGTGGGTGAAGCTTCTCTCCTTCCCTCCTGGTGCTGGTGGCCAAGGGGAAGGGGGCATCCTGAGGGTGGGTCCTAGGCACATGGGGGTAAGGCCAGGCGGGCCGGCTCACCTGTTGCTGCATCAGGTGCAGAGGCAGGGCTGTGCGGTGGGGGAAGGCAGGAGACAGCGGGACCTCTTCCTGGCTGCTCTGGCGGCGCAGGCACTCAAAGTTGAAGGAGGATCTCCGGTGGGCTGAGAAGTCAAAGCACATCATGCAGTTGTGAAGCAAATTCTGCTGGGATGCTGTCTCCCAAGAGCGAGGGTGGCCCCTGGGCATGCAGCAGGGAGCCCAGGAAGCAGCGGGTGGTATGTTCAAGAGCAAGAATTATGTAGTGAGGTCTCTCAACTTTGGGAGGGGAGAATGAAGGAAGAAGCCCAACTGAGGAGTGTATTTAAAAAGTACGGACTTGTCACTTGGAAGTGCTTGCCTGTTTTCAGGAGGAGGAGCTAAGGCATCCCGGGGGACAATTGTTCTGAGTCAGAACCCCTGGCCCTAGTCCTGTGGGGAACACAGCATTTCAGGGCAAGAACACACGTCATTCTTGAATCCCACAGACATCTCCTGACATCCCCCGCCTTGTCTTCCAGACACCCTCAGTGTCTCTGGGGGCCGAGAGATCTTGCTGGGTCTTCCGTGTTTATACCTCTGTTCTAAAGGGAGAGACTTCATCTGCCCTGTTCAGCTCAACCAGGTAACAAGCAAATTCTTTTGCTGGGAAAGACTCAGCTTCTTTAGCACTAAAGACAGACACAAAGCACACATTTAACTCTGAGAATACGGTTGTCCTGCTAACAGCCATTTCAAACAGAGGCTCACACGTAGGCTGAGCAATGACAAGACAATCCACAGCTTTCAGACTCACAGGGCACCAGGCCCAGGAGGTCAGTCTGAATTCTAGGGCCCTAGGACACAGCCACAAGCCTTCTCCTGGAGACCCCTTCCACCTTCGCAGGGGTCTGCAAGGCAGTGGCTGAGTCATTTCAACAGCTCTTTTCTCGACTTCAGCTTCTCCAAGATCAAAGCGCATTTACCAGCCCCAGCAAATCTCCACATGCCCCTACTTCCCGTATTGGAAAACCTCAGAGTTGAGCCTTGAGAGGCCTCCTGAGCATCCTGGGGCCGCATGTGACACTCCAGCAACTGGGTTCTGTAAGGAAGACGAGGCTGAGTGCTTGTCTGGCTACCGCCCTACAGAAAAGCATGAGACAGAGCCAGTCCTGGCATGCTGGGGCCTCCTTGCCGAGTTTCCCATGTGGAACATGGACAGCAGCCTTCATCAGGAAGCCTTCCCTCCATGCACCTCCTGGGGCCTAATTTAGTGTGCATGGAGGACGGGCCGTCCTGTCAGCACAACCTATAGGATGCGAGGTTCAGAGCCGGGAAAGGAAGACACCTCCTCCTCTCACGTGCACAGTGCCTTTCTATTTCTAAAGTAGGTCCACGTGTTCCCATCATCTCACGGACTCTCACAACAATCTCTGCAGGAGGAAGTAATCCCACAGGAGCTGGGAACATGGGCCGGAGGGGCTTGATGTCCTCCCTGCCCAAGGTCTGAGCTGATGGATAGCACAGCAAAGCCCCCTTGCAAACAGAGAGCCACTCCTGTCACCCATCTTCCTCTCCAGCACTGAGGCAGCGCCTGTGAGTGGTGGGCATTCATGTGCCACTGGGCATGGTGGGCAGGTGACTAAGCAAAGGCAGAGGTCTGAGGAAGGTGGTGGAAATCACCAGGGAAAGGGCCTCCACCTAGCCTCCGCACATGCTTCATCTAGTATTTATGGGAAACTGAATGGCTTCATTCAGCAGCACATGCCTGGGGCTGAGCCGTTAAATATTAACCATGGAAATGGTCTGATTACACTCCCTAGCAGGGCTGCGACAGCTGGCGAGAGGCAGAGGGCCCTGGGCACCACCCCACTGTGCTCAGAAGCCAGAGCGTCCCAGCCATACACTTCACTCTTCAGAAACACCAGAAACGGATGCTTTAACCACCATTGACAGGTGCTCACATGTCCACAGTCAAGCTGCCCAGCCAGGAGCTGGCAGGGCCAGGCTCACTTCTTTCCCCAGCCTGAGTTTTGGGCTTGGGGTTATCCTGACCCGACAGCACCCCTTACGCTGCTGCTGCAGAAGGAAAGCAGGGGAGGAGCCCCTCTTGGCAGGATGGGTTTCCCAGCCCCAGAAGGGAAGCATCTGTCCTGGAAGTGACAGCCAAGGCCAAAACCTGCCTGTGAGCAGAGAGGAGAGAGGCAGGAGAGAGGGGAAGGGTACCCTTCAGAGGTGTGAGGTTTTGCAAGGCAGGCCGTGGGCATCTGAGCCCCTCCTTCCCCCGCACAAAGGCTCAGTCACCCCATCATGGAGGGCAGCAGAGCCAACACCAGCCAAAGTGTGTCTGTCTTGCCTGCCTCTCAAGACAGAGCCCAGGCTCTGAGCAGTGACACATATGCAAGAAGCCCCTTATCAGACATTGTGTGCACGTGATTTTAAGGCCACACACTGCATCTCTCCTGTGAGAGAGTCAGCAACAGTGCTGAAGAGGTTTAAGCTCCATCACATGGGATACAGATGAGAAAGAAAGGACAGCCAATACGCTCTCCACCCCGGGCACTGGTCTTGGACACTAAAGGTGCCTGACATGGCAGGACCATTCATCACACTCTCCAGAGTGGGTATGGGGAGAGGCACACTGTTCTCTGTGAGGCTTCACCCAAAACAAAATATCCAGCCTCACATGTTGGGGTGGGAGGTAGCAGGCGCCTCCTTGGAGATCTCCGTGAATCATAGCACACAGGTGACTCATCGTCCTCCAAGAAGCCTTGGGGGTGATGGTAGCCTCGGGGCCTCTCGAAGTCCAAGTTGTAGCCGGGGTATCTGCTGTAGTAGCCACAGTTCTGCCTAGCAGCCAAAAAGGGCCAAAAGAGAAAGGGCACGTGAGACTCTAGTTAAGAAGTCCTGCCACTCAGCTCTGCAGGCCCATCTACAGTCCTCTCCCCTCCTCCCATGGACACCGTAGGACTCACTGAAAACAAGGCAAGCCTTGGTTACATGGAAGATTCTAGATACAGAGTGAGGGCCATGGCAGGGAGGTTCAGGCCTGGAGGCCTGTGACAAGGGATGGGCAGGTGGTTTCCACTCCAGGGCCGCCTCCGCCCTGGGTCAGATAGGATTGCAGACGCCTCGTCAGCTGCACTATCCTCCACTCCCGTCCTCCTGGGGACCCCTCCCGAGCACCCGCCCTCTGCAGTGCTGGGCGCCAGGGACAGGAAGACATGTGAAGCACGGTCCCCACCCTCTGGGAGCCTAGAAAATATCACGATAGATGCCTAGCACAAGCTGGAAAGGCCAGCGCCAGAAGGGCAGTGCTCACGACGGGTTCCATGAGGTTTTTTTTGGGGGGGGGCGGGTCAGTTCCAGTCAGGGAAACAAAAAGGAAGGCCCTGGAGCAGGCCCTTAAAGAGAGGATGGAATGCGGCCAAGAGAGATGGGGAAAGGGCCCCAGGAAGTGGACGTGGGAGAGCAGAGGCCCTGAAGAAGGAAACACACAGTCCGCCCGGCTCAGAATCCGTGGTTCCAGAAGGCAGAGTTAGAGGGAGGCGGAGCGTGAGGGTCAGGCCGTGGCTCAGGTACCAGACGTGAGCTTACTACAGAGCCGCCTCCACCTCACTGGGCCTTGGTCCCAGTGGATGCAGTCACAGGGAAGAGGGTGGGAGGGACCTTCACCCCCTGCACTGCCTGCTATGTGTCTTAAAACTAAGTGCCCATTTTCTTTTTTTTTTTTTTCCTTTTTTGTCTTTTTTACTGACTGGTAACGGGATCGCAACCCTCAGTGTTGCGCCCGCACCGCGCTCAGCCAGTGAGCGGGAACCGGTCTCCACATGGGATCCGAACCCTCGGTGGGAGCACCACCACGCTCTCAAGCGGCGCACTCTCCAGTGCGCCACCGGGCCGGCCCCTAAGTGCCCATTTTCACCACAAACTCATTCTGCAGGATAGAAGCCGGGAGAGGCACCTCTGCTGAGGGATGCTGCTCTGACCTCTTGTCCCCTCAGCTCTGTGACAGACCCTTGATGGGGCAGGAAGCAGGTGCTGTTCATGGAGACCCCAGCAAAGCTACAGGCAGGCCAAACCACTGTGCAAACCGAGCAGGTCAGGGCTCCCAGAGTTAATTAGATAAAAACTGATCTCTCAGAAGATAGGGGACTAAGAGAAAGGGGCTAGCCCAGCCATGAGCAGGCCCAGCTCACATCTCCAGAGCTGTTACTTGAAGGCCTTCAAGGCCCTTGGTGTAAATAAAGCAACGGGTCTAAAAGAACAGCCTCCACTCTGCCTCTCTTTGGCCCTATTTCTCCTGCTCCAACTTTCCCTCTGGCCTGGAGTGTGTGCTCCTGTTTTGCTTTTCTGGAGAACCCTGAGTGTGGCTGCAGGTGGCCCCTGGCTTCCTGAGCAGACAGAGCACAGGGGCAGGGGAGGATGTATTTCAGCACAAGCTGGAGCTCCTCACCTGCTCCCAGTTGGCGAGCTGTCCTCCTCGTAGCATTCCTCACTACTGAAATACTCCTGGTCCCCTAAGCAGCAGGGGTCCCTGAAGTAGCCATATATCTCTGGGTCTTCCCGGCAAATAGTTGGGTACTGCTCATCTCCTGAGTCAGACCTGCAGTTGACAGAGAGGATCTGAGAGCCTGGGCAGGCGGCAGACAATTCCTGTGGCTGTGCCTCCGCGTGCAGCCACCATTCCCGCCCAAGGTGCTCCTGGCTTCTCCTCCTGTGCACCTGCCTCAAGCGGGACTGGGCTGTTCAGGCTTCTGGCAACAGTGCTGTGTGCATGCACATGTGTACGTGCCAGAAGGAGAGGTCTGAGTACCCTGCACAATGCTGGTGCCAAACTACTGTGCTGAGAGGCTTTGGAGCCAAGGGAACAGATGTAATTTGGAAAACAGAGCGAAAAACAGTAGTCAGTGGTCCCAGGGAAAAGACCTTGGGCTCCCAGGCCATCTACTCTGATCCCATCCCCCCGCTCCAGGTCTCAATCCAGGAAGGGTGAGATGAGTGTTGGATATACCATCACAGGGGAGACTCCCATGAGAAATGTCTGCCACGCTTTCAAAGGCTGCCCTGCTGCAGGACTGTTGTAACATCTCCCTGAAACCTGGCCTGGCCTGGTCCTGGCCTCAGTTCTCAGGAAAACCAGCTCAGTGACATCAACCCTCTCTCCCAAGGAAGAACTGTGCTTCCCTAGAGTTCCTACTCTCTCACGTCCTGCTGGGGCCCGAGTGGCTCCTATCTCACTCTCAGGAAAACCAGCTCAGTGACATCAACCCTCTCTCCCAAGGAAGAACCGTGCTTCCCTAGAGTTCCTACTCTCTCACGTCCTGCTGGGGCCCGAGTGGCTCCTATCTCACTCGATGTAATGAAACCAGAGCTACCCTTTCCCTGCCCCCAACACATGTTCATTCCACCCACAATCCAACTCAGGTCAGCACGTGTGGAGTAGAATATACCGCACGTGTCTTGAGGGCCACAGGGGAGATGATGGAGAAGATCTGGTTCCTGGCCTTCAAGAGGTTTGGGTTTTGCTTTTACTAAGTCCCACGAGAAGCTTGACCCCAAAAAGCAGCCAGAGTGGCCCAGCTACATAGGTCCAGACCCACATAAGTACACGCTGGGCTCTCCCAGTGCCGTTGTGAGGCCTGCAGGAGCTGGCCCATGGACCCTGCCTGGCATGTGGATACCAGTCCTTGGATGGCAACAGAATCTATGCAGGTGTGGATCTGAAAGCTCCTTTGCTTAGAAAGAAGGAACAACTCTGACATGCATGCCCACAACCCTGAGTTATGATAACCTATTAGGCCAATGGCTTTAAGAAATTTTTCTCATTCCTCAGCATAGAGAGACAAGGCCAAATGGTAACAGACCACCACAGTATTTAACACAAAAACATAGGCAATGAGCACATACCTAATGTAAGTTTCATAATAGCGGGTTCTATCCAGGAAAGGCATAACATGGGAGGGAGGGAGAAGATAAAAGTTAAATATTTCCAACGAATTTAAAATGCAGATATTAGGCTACCTCCTAGAGTAGGGGTTGACAAACTATGGTCCACTGTCCAAGTACGGGCTGCCACCTGTTTTTCTATGGCCCATGAGCTATAAACAGTTTTTACATTTATAAAGCACTGAAAAAACTCTAAAGAAATCTATTTCATCATATGGGAATCTATGAAGTTCAAATTTCAGTGCCCTTAAAGTTTTACGGGACACAGCCACACACCCACTGATTTACATATTGTCTATGGCTGTTTTCACACTGCAGTGGCAGAGTTGAGTAGCTGCATATGGTCCTCAAAGCCTAAAATATTTACCCTCTGGCCCTCTACAGAAAAAACTTTGCCCACCCCTGTCCCAGAGTATAATTGGGGAGGGTGGATTTGGGGGCTCTGATGTTTTAGGGCGTGCCCCACAGAGCAGGATATAAGATGGCAGGCAGCCCCTCACCCTTTGGATCTGTCACATGGCTACTGCCTTAAGAGGCCATGATGGTGGTGGCACTCACAGGTCCTAATGCAAATACCTCCAGGGAATCTCCTCCACATACCAGAGCACAGGGAAGATTCCCACCTTGTTCCACAGGACCAGATGTGACACAGGCAGACATTACATTTCTAAGAGCAAATGTATTTGAAAGGTTACCTTTTAATACTGGACATTCTTTGAGGCTCCCGGTCATGCTTGTGGGAGGAACGGTGCCCATTTTCAGACACATGCTCAGGGTTCCCAATGCTGGACCATTTTCCATGGGCAGCTTTGGACATATTGGCATTATTGAGATTGGCATTTGTTGAGGTGGGAATTTGCTTTCCTATGGAATTATGGTTATGATGGTTATGACACACCGAATTTCCTGCTGGAGGAAACAGCGGTTTCTCAGTATCACTTGCAGGTGGAATTGAAGGCCTTTGGACATGCAGGGGACGGTGGGTGGTATTGGTCTGCTGAAGGGAATCTCTCCTATCACTATTAACATGATTGACATGGTTTCCAAGCAGGGCACCATTTCTCTGCAAAATAATGGGAGACAACACCAGGTAATTTAACAAATATTTGATGCAGGCTAGCTATGTTAGGTAATTTTTTTCTACATGAAAAACATTCTATATAAGCTCCATGGGATCCCTGTAAAACAATCTGAGTGTCTCAACAGTAGGTGTGAATGGGTTCATGTGGCAATCGGTCCCCCCTGAAATGAGGACGGTTACTGATTCCTGACCTGGGGAGCAAGCTCTCGGCTGTCACTCAAGTGTGTTCTTCTAGTCACTCCATGTTGAGGTGACTTATACCCTTATAGCCCTGAGGTAGAGCAGTAGGCATGCTCTCTGGGCTGGGGGGTGGAGGGCTGGCTGACAGATCAAAGAGCTGGCCCAGGGAAGGAGGCAGCTACTGGAAGGACCCAGGATGCTGATCCACACTGGCAGGTGGCTGTTCCCTAGCTCCTCAGAAGCAGATAGTGGGGGGCAGGGAGCAAGTTCAGGGAGGAGCGGGCTTGGCCCTAGAAGATGTACTGGTGGATGGAGAGGGTCTGGGGTGGGGTTGGGGGGTAAAGGGCATGGTCTGCAAGCCCCTCTAAGCCCTGGGGCTGGTTTGCATTCTCCAGACTCTTCTGTGGATCTTTAACTGCCCCAACTGGAGTCCTGCCCCACTATTTCAGGTGGCCAGTGTGTAGCTAGGCATGGAATAATTACTTTGAATACATCTTCTTCTTCTTCTTGTTTTGTCTCCTCGGGCTCATCATCTTGCAAATCACACGATATAGCACGCCGGATTTCTGGCCCAATGTCGTGCAGTGTCCTTAATCCTGCCTAGATCAATGAAAACGGCACAACAGATTAGATGACACGTGGGGCCTGGGTCCAGCCTGGGTCTGGGCTTTGCTCCTGCCTGATTCAGCAATGGGAAGGGAAGCCTTCTCCAAAGGCCAATCCAGGAAACTGACTGACCGACTGACAGTAATTGAAGGCAGCCTAAGGTTGTTGGGTATAGTGAGGAGTTCAAGATGGTTGAATGGTCCTAGGCTGGGATGCTGGAGGCCTGCAGCCCAGCAACCTCCTTTGAAAATACCCTCGTTGCAGGGAGCATTGCTTGGTTACTAATACTGGAGTCTGCCATGGTCAAGAGCACAGGCCCCTGTCTAAATGACAACCTTCGGAAGGATCGCCTGCAGGGCACAATCTCCCTGAGACCCACACAGGGCAAGGAGCACAGTCTGACTGTTCTAAAAGCAGGGTGGGGAGGACTCCCCGGCTGCATCCAGGACAAGACAGCCTAGGTGCAGGCGCCAGGGGAGCAAGCAGATCAAGCAGCTGCAAGGGACACTGGCTCTGCTAAAAAGCCATAGGACGAGTGAGTGACACAACACACCGCAACCAGCAGCACACTCGAACCACAACAGAATGGATCAACATGCACACAGACCCGGGCTGCTGTGCAGTACGGCCTCCAAGGCCATCCGTGGTGCCCTGGCCTGCAGCCCATGAGTAGGCTGAGAACTCTTCGATAGAGGGTCATCTTTCTGGAGACCACAATAAACTGGAAGTGGCTCACCAGCCTCTGAAGGCAGTGCAAGCCCCCTGGGTGGCCCCTGCAGGCCTGGCACAGATGTTCTGTGCTCCCCCGAGGCCCTCACCGCCAGCCTTCCTCACTCCACCCCCACTTGGTTGGAACAGGGCCTAGGAGAAGCCCTTCCACTGTTCATAACTTCACTGGCAAAACATTCCAAGATGCTTATGGACTATATATGAGGGAAGGTGCAGTTTCTAGCTGAGAATATTATGATGTTTTGACTCCTAATTTTAAGAAAAACAGAATGCTGACTTACAGACTCAAGGGGACTGTATAGCTACTTGATTCTTTTTCACAAGACAACCTGCATCTGAAAGAGGCATTTCCTCCCCGTCCCAGGTCCAAACTCCTGCATCCAGATGGCACGTCCTCATTTGTGGGCAGTCTGCCTGCACCCCAGCAGCCGCTAAGGGCCCAGGGAACGTCTAAGACACTGGCTGTGGTCTCCATCTGCAGCTAATATACTAGCCTTAGGGTGGTTTGGAAAGGAGAACTGGGCTGAGTGGTGGGCCCTCTGAGAAGACCACTTCCCTGTCCTTCCTCCACAACACCCAGCAGTGGGTGGGTGGCTGTAGCTAGGACAGAGACAACACATGACTGACCATGCCTGAGACATGCACATGGTGGAACGGATGCCAAGCAGTGGTGTGGGGAAGGGGAGGGGACAGTGACCGCAGTCTTGTCAGATCCGTCTCCACAACACCCAGCAGTGGGTGGGTGGCTGTAGCTAGGACAGAGACAACACATGACTGACCATGCCTGAGACATGCACATGGTGGAATGGATGCCAAGCAGTGGTGTGGGGAAGGGGAGGGGACAGTGACCGCAGTCTTGTCAGATCCGTCAGGGCTGGGCCCCACTGGTGTGGAAATGCTCAAAACTGGCCCTCTGCAGACATCAGTGATGGTGATGTTAATTTATAATGTAAAGTTGCAAAGGAACTTCACAAGAGGCCCTTATCAAAACAGCCTCATCCATAAAAGCACCCAGCCCATGAGATGATTCCGTTACAAATGCCACATCAGGTTGGGTTTGATTTAAACCATTCTGTGAATAGTAAGCAGCTGGTTTTTCCATTTTGTGAACTGCGAGGGTAAAGGAAATATCAGGAATCAAGGTTTTAAGGTGGCTAGCTAGGAATGCTGTGGTCCTGCAGGGAAAAGACAGACATGTCCCATGGTCAAAGCCTGAATAATTCTTGGTGTGGTCAGTGAGGCTGCTTCTCGCTTTCCTGTCCCTCTCATCACAGGCACAAGCCACACATGCGTGCACGCATGCACACACACACACTTTCCCTCTCTCAGGATTCCTGTGTCCAGCACAACTGGGCCTGGGGAATCATGGCTCTGAGGCAGACCCACTTGCCATTCTCATGGAAACATCGAGAAGGCAACTCTAATGTTAGGTTGGTAAAAGCTCTTACACCGCATGGCAGCAGGCATGTGAAGAAAGATCCTACTCAGCGTGTGAAACAGACTTCAATTCATTCATTCAGAGTTTTCTGGGATACAGTTATCAAGGGTAAGCTAGGCAAGGGTTTCATTGTCTGATTTTGGATCAACTGGGAAAAAAAGGTCTGTTACATATCTGAAGCTCCCAAACAAGAAGAGACAAGGTTTGAGACACCTGCTGCTGTCTCCGCAAAATAAAGATAGGTCGCAGTGCACTAACGCCAACACCCCCAAGTAAATTATGTACATTAACCCATGTTACAAGGCAGTGGGGGCCAGGAGCGCTCCCGAGTTCAAACAACAGATAATCCTATTTACTGTCATTCAACTGATCGGACTAAGTCTGATTAAAAGAAATAGAAAACTATTTATTTGGATAATTTTTAACATCATCCTCTGTTGACAGGTTGACATTTCACCAAAATACATATATAACATAATTGCATAATAAAAACAAAAACTGTCTCCAGAACATTTTCAATGATACACAAGATTAGGATTCAGTTGACAGGATAGTGCAGTGACTAGACACAGGACAGAGAATTTGTATGCAACATAAATCATGGAGAAGGTTGAGAGGTGGCCCAAAATGCCACTTGCGAAGACAAATAATGACAACATATTTATTAAAGAGACATTGAAGAGGAGAAAAAGCATCACTCATCCCAGACACAAAAGCAGAGGTTTAGAAGTCATGGCGAGGTTTAGAAGTCATGGTTATATTTTGTTTGCTCCACACAGGAAAAAGCACACCTCTTGAGAATCAGGGACTGACTTTACTCTTTCACATGTGATCTGGGGAAGAAGGGTCAGAGGGAGGGGTGTCCCCTAGGTTTGGGAGTGAGGAAAATAGATGTTCCCGCAAACTTGAATTGAAACAAAGCTTAAGCACAGCACCCTGAATTTATTACATATCACAAAACATGATAATGAAAATTTTCTAGCACACATATCAAGCTAAAAATTAGCTTAGGCTGCTCCAAAAGTTCCATAGGCACAAGTTCCAACTTCCAAAAATGCAGAAAACTATCTTAAACTCTTGAAAAAATTACTTTTTCCTACAGCCCTTAAAAAAATGAACATTTTTTTCTTGAAAGAGACACTTGACAATCAGTAGAATGATCTGTTCTTTCATATTTCATATCTGTGTCTACCTCTGTCAGCAAAATACTATTTGAATTTGAAATGCGGTCATTAGCATTTAAACAAACATAATTAAAGCCATATAAAGTCATTCCATTAACATTACAGTAGAATTATGGTTTTGAATAAACAGAATTGCTATAAGATATAAAGATTATTGACTTGTTTTGAGATGTCCAATCCTATAAAATATTAAACAGAATCAAGCCTTGTTCCTGGTTGATTTTAAAATGCTAGATGTTATCATAAAGATTTTTTAAAAGAGAAATGTTGGCGCTTTGCCTGTAGACTGCTGCTTTAAATTTTAGACACCATTTAAATTGGAATTTTATATTTACTCTATTGAATAAGTCACCAAAACAACTATAAAATCTCTCTAAATATTTCTCAAGTAATAGCATAAACTCATGATACTCTGACATCAAATATGAACATTCATTTACCTTCCTTTCTCTTGCCCACTTTTAGGGTTAAGTTTCTCCTACCTGGACAGCATTTGGAATGCTCTTGCTGCCTGTCTCCCTAAGCTAGCTCCACCAGCCACACCAGCCATCTGCAGCTCTCACAGCACCACAGCAAGCAAGCACCACTGCCCGCAGGCCCACCCCGAACCTACGCTGTAGCAGTGGAGGTAAGAGATGCAAGTCTCCAGGCGGGACCGGGACAGGCCGTTCATCTTCAGGCTGTGAGCACCAGGCATTCAGACTCCAGCCAGAGAACCCTGCCCCGACAGAGCCTGCTGCCCATCACAGGCAGGCTTCACTCAGCCAAGGCTGGACCCGCACACAGTTATCTTGCTACTGACAAGTTCTGCTTAACCCAGGATCCCAATTAGAGGGAATAATTTTAGATCAGGTCTGTTAAGAAAAACCTGGAGATTTAATTCTCATAGAATAAACATACTCATCTACAAGCTGTCCTCTGCCTCCTCTGCACACACACCACACACAGGCACACCCCTTATTTTGCACTGCTTTCCTCCATGGAAAATGTGATGGTGTGGCCTTTGTGCCCATTGTGAACAGTTCTCGTGTCAGATTGAAAGGGTTAGAATCATGGGCACAACACTCCATTAGTCATCCACGGTAATTCCAGCCCGCACTGAAAAGTCAACGGTAACATCACCCCCATGAGTTACCCTAAGGGTTGCACTCAGCTGCATAAATCCAGTTTGTTACCATCACTTTGAAAGATAAGGGAAACTTTTCAAAAATCACCTAATCTATGACCTTTCCCTGCAAACGCTCTCAGATACTTATCTGTTTCAGTTCCACCTTGATTCTTGGTTGCAGTTTTAACAGCAGAATCAGAGAAATTCTTATCAGTTTCCTGATAATAGAGAGGGAATTACATAAAATTTAGGCTCAGCAGAAGCTGCAAATCATGACTTCTATTCTGACAGCATTTTTATACTTATTATGAGCTGACATACTTATATTCTACTAAATCCTAGGAGGAAGGGAGGGCCAACACTATTCCCATTTGGTTAAAGGAGGACCCTTGACCTGTAGGCCTGCTGTTCCATGATGCTGTGCTGGCCTCACCTCTCCCAAACTCTCACCTTGACCGCCATCAAGACGAAGTCATAGCATCTACCAGCAGAGAGTGTGGGATTGGAGTCCATTCACGCACTTACTCACCTAGAA